ACCTTGTTAGTTGCCTGATTACTTTGGCCACATAGAATAATCGGCGAAGGATCTAATGAATGAGATGGAACAGTTACGACAAAAATGCTGTTGATGATATTCTGCGCGACTTCCTGTATGGATTATAATCTGCCGATATACAGAGGATTGTGTCCATCTCACAGTTGCTATGCTCTTGGATGACAGAATCAAAACAAAACCAATGACAAGCCTATACAATATGTATGTGCTGAAGAAGAGATGAGGCCCGGAGAAAATATGAGATGGTATGAAAATAAAGACAAAACACCTAAATAACAACTTCTCCCATTCGTGTCGCAAGGGAAGCAGCAAGAAAACAAGGGATGAAACCGGGAAGCGTCAGCGCCGCTGACCGCTGGCAGGTTTTGTGCAAAGACCTCGGCTGGCGACAAAATCGAGGTTACGAGGGCGGATACAACTGCCCGTGATACATGGATCAGCAAAATAAAAGAAAGACATGCATGATCAGGTAAAAATAAATCCCAACTCCATGAGTCCAGTAACGGTAGACGTTGCAATGCGGTAAATGAGCGTCGTCATAATCACAAATCGTATGCTTTTGACAACCTGGTCAACCAACGGCCAGCCACTGGTAAGCGTAAGAAGGGACCGTAAAGATGCGATATATTATGATGGAGAGTAGCAATTAGATGCATGGAGGGAGGTTGTTGCAAAGGAATGAGTGCTGCTGCGGAGAAAGTCTAGTTGTCCCAACCCCACACCTGTCGCACGAAGTTCGCCATGTTGACTTTTTTGTTTTTCATGTCCAGCATCCAAGGATGATCCAGCATCCGCCATGGAGTCGCTCTTCGTGGAGGCTCTTTCTCGAGGCTAGGAAAGTTAGGTTCACCGCGCGGGCAATGCGAACGCAGATGGGGTCACATACCAGCATTCTATAAAGTACTTGAAGCTATCAGACCAGCGAATACCGTTATCCGGCTCATCCTTCAACTTAGGAATCGGTTGGCGAACGATGTATGTAAGGAGGTCGATTAACCCAGCACGGGGCTGCATTTCGGTTCCATCGGCCGGGAAGGGGAAGCGATGCTGGGCAACTTCAAGTAGCGTTACGCCCAGAGACCAGACGTCCGAAGTAATCGTATAAGATTGACCAGTGATCCGTTCGGGGGCCATGTAATAGGAGGTGCCGATGAACGTATTGGCATCGCCCTTGGTGCCGAACTCTCCACTAACGCCGAAATCACATAGCTTGACCTGTCCGTTGCGGCATAAGAGAATATTGGACGGTTTGATATCTGTGTTCTTGTCAGTGCATGAGTTACATTGATCACTGAGAGTAAAATCGAACATACCTCGATGGATAATCTTTCTACTGTGCAGATACGTTAAACCGTTCAATACGCCTTCTGCGACCTTACCCAGCACTTTCTCTCCTGTTCGACCCCCTAGTTTCTTTACTTCTTTGTAGATACTGTCTAGACTGCCCCCCTCACAGAACTCCATCGCGATCGAAATTGTGCCGGTAGACTTGTCCATGAATGCACCGTAATACCGACAGATATGTTCTGAGGCACAGTCCTTGTTGAAGTTGAGTTCCCGAACAATCTGTTTCTTCACATCTGGGTTGGGGTCGGTTGTGATAATCTATAACAATCGCACAGTTAGTGATGAGTGGAAATAGAGCATGAAGGTTGAAACCCCCTCTGAAAGAGCAAGAAAGTATATTAAACCCACCTTCAACGCGAAAACGGTCTTTCCTTCCTTGAGCTTGCAACGAGTGACCGCACCTCCTGCACCCTCACCCAGACTGCCCAACTCCACGATCTTCTTCTGTTCACTGGCCGCGAGCCAGCCTTCATCATCCAAATCGTCAACGTCCAGTGGCCTGCCCTTTTCTAAGCTCAGCTTGTCGAGATCTGGAACCAGTCCATTTACGCTGTTGTCACGCTCCATCTGCACACCCCCTTCCCGATCGGAGTAAACCGAACTAATGGCAGAAGACGGATCCGGAGTGCTCCCCTGTGGTTGCCGAAGACCCATGGCGAACGACAACGCCGAGTAGTTTGATGATGAAGCGGATGCGGGGCCACTAGCCTTTCCATCCAAATAGTTGAAGCTACCTGACCGCGAGTGTCCGTTCGGTTCGTTCAACCCACTGGTGGCTAGAGGCGGGGGAGCTGGGCGACCATTGACTTGTTGGATATTCTTACTGCTGCCCATCGGGGTCGCAAGTCGCAGTTGCGGGGGCGCCGGGCGGGTGGACGGGCGCTGGAGCTGTGGCACTTCGGGGGCTAGAGCGGGCGCTGGGACGGGCGCCGGAGCCGGTATACCGTTACCGGTTACGGGACGAGCGTTGGGTGACGGGGGAATCCCCAAGGTGAGCTTTGGGGGTCGGGGACCATTGCTGTTGTTGCGATTACCCGGCACGGGCGGTTTGAGGAGGGGAACCGCGGGTGTCGACATGGCGAGATTGTCTTGCCTCTCCCCGGGCAAGAACAACTCGTTTGGGTCAGCCAAGGTAGCCAGATCGGCGGTATTTGATTTAGACACCTTGAAAGAAAATAAAAAAGAATGAAGAGTCAAGAGATAGAGAGAGAGAAAGTAACAGGATGATTGGTATAATGAGAAGTTGGACGCTCGGAAGAACGACCGTGGGGCTGAACACGCGGCAAGGCGACTGCGATAAGAGGGGTTGGTTTTCGTTGATCGAGCGACAGAAGAGCGAGTGCGCGAGGAAGAGGAGGGGAAATGTAAGCTTAAGTTCTTAAATAATGAGAATTGAAATCCAAAGCAAACAAGCGAATGTTTGATTAGACGCGAGACAACAAAGATCTCGACTCCAGGACGAAGAGAAGGTCGTTTAGTATGTAAGATAAGTGGTCGTAGTGGGAGGACCGTAGTCGGAGTCCAGGGAGGAAGAAAGAAAAGGGAAGAAAGGAAGAAAGAAGAGAACAGACGAAGGGATGGAGGATGAAACGCAGATGATGACGGTCGGAAAGCGTTTCAATTAATATGATTATGAGGAGAAGAGCGAGAGTGTGAGAGAAAAAAGCCGGATTGGAGTCAAGGATTCAAATGGGGCCCGTTTGGTCAAGTTGTTAGTCCGTCAGTCAATCACAAAGTGGCTAAAAAAGGCTCGTCGGCGGTTGGACTCAAAGATTGTAACTCTTGACCTTTTTGCACCTTCAATCAGCTAATAATATTCCATGGTTCATCCCTCTCTGGGATTAGTGCCAATCATAAGGCTCCGCCAGTGGAACACTCGGACAGACGATGTTGACTTGACTCGGTGGAACCAGTCGGTTTCAAAAGGCGCCTAAAGACCGTTCTTTATTTGATACTTGGGTCTTGGTGCTTGTTCAGCGGCCCTGCGTTCCCTCAGATGCTATTATTATATGCTATCAACCTTGTTAGTTCAGGGACTGACTCCATTTTGAGCATAGAAGCAATTTTTAGGTCCCAGAGTTCTGTCCGTGTGGTTTGTATCTGAGATCCATCCGTCTGTCGGTTCCCCTTCGTAGCGTGATCTGGTTCCTGAACCCTCAGGCACCTGTTTTTAGGCATCCATGAACAGGCGCCCCAAAAAAGGAAGGAAAGAAAAAAAAGAATCTGTCTACATACCACGGAACCACATTCAATACTGGGTATCTGATCCGAATTACTCCAAGAAGAAACAAAAGAGGAAATGCTGTGTAGAGTCCTGGGTAAAAATAAAAATCAATTAATTAAATTTCCTCTAATCAAAATTTCCTAAATTAACCACAAAAATAGATGCGACTCTTGAGATTCCTCCGCAGTTAGCGTGCAGGAAGAAGCCTGTCGGTTTCTATTTCCGTTCGGTAATAGACTAAATTAAGACCAATCTAGTATCTTTGTGTTCATTTTAGTCTCACTTTCAAACAACTCCATGGCCAATGTTTTACATCATCCCCCACTTTTCTGATGAAATGCTTGTTAACTTGAAATCGTAACCGAACTTGACCAGGAATTTTTATCATTATGATTAGCTTCCAAATTAAGTGACGCACTATCCGGTTCCGAAGAACCATCCACGATCGCTTCACATCAGTATACAATACGCAGTAGTAGTAGTTTTCATGACCTGGTCTACTCAGATGAATCGCATGACTAGTAACAGTCTGACTAGTCCAGAGGATGACCAGTACTTTTGCATCGAAGATACCTCACAGGAGAAATTGAACGCGTCAGCCAATGTACGGAGCAGACGCATAGACCTCTCCTCTGTGAGCCAAGAGCACGTGCTTCATGTCGGCAGATGATCGATTAAATGCACACTTCTGCATATCCATCAATATCAAAGCTTTCAGCCCTGTGACGGTGAGCTTGTTCAAGACCAGCTCAACTCCAGACTTATCCACTGAATCTGACATCATATAGCCACTATTAGCTCATGCCCAAGCTCCTGTACGCCACAATGACCGAGAGAGACGGGAAAAGCACGGAAGCACTGGACAATATGGCAATAAGACTGATTCGTCGTGCATCTCGAGTCCGACCCACCACCATGCTTAAAATAGCCTTTCCCCATAAGTGCACCGCCATCCAAGATGGAGAAGCGTCATAATAATAGCAGTGACGCTGAATTGGAAGTAGTTCATAGCATCCGTGCAGGCCCCGAGGAAAAATCATGGTCCGGTGACGATGTAGAGGGACTTATCGTAATCGTATGCTGGTCAATATCGGTCATAACACCACCATTATCGCGGAATTCCATATGTTGCCTCGTTTAGACAATTCACGAACTAACTCGATGCGTCTGAGTGGGGTCTGCTCCGGTTATCGTCGCTATTACATTGCCATGTTCTCTACATTTTTGTTGGTCACCGTTAGAGAGAAGACATTATAAACACGACAAGTACAAACGAGAAAATGCGTCCAAAGCAGAAAGAACCCCTCTTGGTAGACGCGCGGCGATGGACGATCCTCAACAAGAAAACCCCACCGGATCACCCGGTTTCCTGTGATGATGGGAAACAATGAGCGGGAAACGGCGACTCGGGCACCGACTTAGCACCGCTTTCTGTTCGTGCGCTTCTCTGTGCGGCGTGCGCATCATCTCGGGCACTGAATATGGGGTTTCCAATCTATATTATACATAGCACCCATTTAATTCTGCTCGTCATGCTCCACGAACCTTCGGGGTTCAAGGACGAGATTAGGAGACGTGAGACTCGCAACTTGAAAACCGGGGTAGCGGCTTGGAAGCCATGGCTGTCCGAACTGTCTACGCCCGGGGTAGAACGCGCATATCGAGAGTGCAGACTGCCATGAATCATTGAACCTTTCCCCTGTTGATCGGTGGAGCCCTGAACCCAATTAACCGCCTTATGTTGCGCGAACGGGTGAACACACCAATATGTTTTCTCCAAACCCGTCCATAGAGTCTGCGCAATCTTTGAGGATTGATTCTTCTCGGTTACCTGGCTGCAACGGGATTATGCCAGATGATATCCTTCCGTTGAGAGATTGACAATCAACCTATCACTGGTTTCAATTTCGAGCAGGCCCCCCCTGAACTGTGGACATTCTGCAGAAAGATGAACACCCCTTTCTTTATCGATTATCCAGAAGACAGGAGTCCTAAAAAAAGAAGCTCATGAACTCCCTGGGTGGTTTGTACCCACAAAATATTCCGGAGAAGGTTTGGAGTGCAATAGGTTTTTCAATAGTTTGATAACTCTACCAGACTCTATTCCTTGTCGACAATCATGTCTCAGCGTTCTCAGGCCCAGAAGGCTTCTCATAGCTTATGTCTAGGTTTTGATGGCGCAATCACTCCAATTCTAGGTGCCGAGAGAAAACCAAATTGTGTCTCGCGTGAACATATGGGATCCTCTCGAACCACGACTAATCGATTCGGTACTATAAAAAAAGTTCCTATTATTGCTATGATTGACATTATACAACGCGAATATCGACTAGCTAGGCGAGGCCCGACCAGGGGTGTAGGTAAACAAATCCTTGTATAACCGAGTGCACAACACTCTCTTTCACTCCTTGGCGGTCTTAGCATTTAATAAGCAATTAATGACGCTGCCCAGGGTTGTAAACGAATCATAGTATGACTAACTGCCCTCTGTCACTGGCTGCAACGCTCTCCTTCCCTTTTCGGCAGTCCTTAGCGTTTAATAAGCAATTAATGACGCCGGCCAGGGTCTAGTCAAGCAAAATCAGCCAAGCTTCCTTCATGTAATTAACAGGGCTGAGTAGATACATCGGCTGCGTTTCTAGACCGTCGACGAGGACAGGGATGAGATGAAGAATCTGCACTCGGAGAAACACAATCGTGTGGCGAGAACAATGGATGTCGGTCCCCTGTTCGGAGATTTTACATGTGCGTGATCCTTGAGGATTGCGAACGGAACCGGCCGTCAGCACTTTGTACATGCAGTCAGAGCACCATTGGTCAAATGATACTAAAAAATTGATTGGAACCCTGTTTCCTGAGTCTTGTGACTTTGATGGATAACGGATATAGACTCTTCCCGCGTAGTCGATGGTTACAAAAAGAATCGAAAATTTTCTTCTCAAAAATTGATCATTTCTGTAGCAACTTACTAAGTTCCTACCTCACATTGAGAAAAATAATCGCGATAAAAATGGTACGTAGCAGAGAGACAGGGGTTAGTGGGGCGGACCCACTGGGACTTGGGCCTTGAATATTCAAGTCATTGGCCCATGAGTGGAGCCCAAGAGCCACAGCGGGCTGTTGGCGACTTGAAGAAGTGGAGCCTGGAGTCAGGAACGGATCTCTGTATGGGACCCTGATTGGCTTGACCCGAAACCTGAAACATCTATCGGGAGTTGTTCAACGTCCTTGTGGCTTGGCCGATGAAAATACCCTTCCCCTGAAATTGCCCCAGGATGCATGGATGTATCACGCAAGGATTGTTTGGGCGCAGGGCTAATTTCCGGACGGGGGGTTTTTGGGTTCCATGCCGCTAGCGGGATTGGATGTTACAATGACAATTGTGTAACGGCAACACAATCTCGGAATCCCGAGTCTTTCATATTCTACGTTCTACTAGTACCGAGGAGGAGGGTTTATGTGTCTGGGATAAAAATACTCGGGTATTACAGTCCAGTAAATAGTTTATGATGATCTTTTGCTATTCGTGAGTATAACTGAATCCAGTAAGTGAGCGACAGATCATCGGTGCGCTGAACTGAACCCAAGCAGTGGAAAGCATTGACTGGAACCCAGCTGTGGCAGCGAAGCTAATCACAAAACTAGTCCATTACTAGTCCACTGGTAGTGGTTCTTTGCGACGGCCACATCCGCCAACCATGGTGCGTCAAGCCGCCATCCCACGAGCCCCATGAGGATGGCGGCCCCATTCACTCATCTATTGGGTTTAGTCGAGGGTGTCTTGTTTCTCCTGGAGAGAAACACACCGCATTACCGTTCACCAATTGATAGAGTAACGCCAGTATCTGCAGCGCTCTCCACCCGCCTGCAGTCCCCTCTCCCCTTTTCGTCCCTGAGACGATCTCCAGGTTAATCTCCCGGTTCATACAAAGCCTCCAGACTCCCCCATCCGTTCCTTCGTTTTGTTTCAATCCGTTCCTTCTCTCAAGTCCAAACTTCCTGCTTGAAGCATATCAACTTTTTTGACTTCGGTCAGCCATTCTTTTTACCAACCAACTACCCACACTCTCTTTTTAGCCCACCGCTAAACAACAATCAATCAATCAACCTTGACGGTTAGATTTCTCTCGTGCAAACAAAAACCTACAGTCAACATGCGTTTCTCTGCTGCCACCGTTGCTCTCTTCGCCGGCCTTGTTGCCGCTCTCCCTAACGGCGAGGTCCACACTGTCTACCAGACTGAGGATGTGACCATCACCTCTTGCGCTCCCACCGTCACCGACTGCCCCGGCCGTCAGACCTCCACCCCTGAGGGTGTTGAGCCGATCGCCACTCCCACTGGTATCACCACTGAGGAGACCCCCGTTGCCCAGACCTCCTCTGCTGAGGTTCCTCCCGTTGAGGAGACCACCCCCGCTGTTCCTCCTGCCGTCCCTACCAGCAGCTCCCCTGTTATCCCCTCTCAGGGCCCCAGCAGCAGCGGCAGCGTCCCCGCTGTGCCTTCCAGCAGCAGCCCCGTCATCCCTCAGCCTCCTCAGCAGCCTAGCCAGGGCACCACCGTCATCGCTGTGACCACCTGCATTCCCACCGTCACCTACTCGACCATCACCGGCCCCGCTGGCACTCCCACTGGTGTCTCCCCCGGCAAGAGCTCTTCCGTCCCCGTGATCGGAACCCCTGCCCCCAGCGGCAGTGCTACGTAAGTTTTCCTTCACTTCCAAACCTGAAGACAACCACCCACTAACCACGCTCCCAGCCCCTCTTCTTCCGGCCCTAACCCTCTCTTCACCGGTGCTGCCAACACCCTCGGCCAGTCCTTCGGTCTTGCCGGTGCCGCCGCTGCCGCCGCTTTCTTCCTTGCCTAAATTCCCTTCTTGTCCATAGTGTAGCCCCGATTCACTCGTGAGTCCGGCTCCGCTGCAGGCGGGGGAATCTAGTAATGGACGTTCGATGTGAATGATACCAGAGTTGGACGGGGTTTGTCTTTAGTTTTGGGTGTGATTTGGGGGAGAGTTAATACCATTTGACTTCATATGCTTCATATTTCACATATTCTTTATACCTCATTTTTCTTTTTCTGTATTACTCTTCTTGGCTTGGCTTCTGGACTGCTTCGCAGATATGGAGCAGTTTGGTCGCTGTTTACGATTTAATGTAAACCATGACGCTTTGACAACTTTTTATCACTTAAGTACCCTCGATTACTGTAGTCACAAACTCGAGCAATCCCAGTGCAACCACTACAGTATACTCAGTTTCCAGAATCCTCAATCCTCATTCTATACAAACCCCAGTATCCCAGACCCCAAACCCTCCGCCTACGCGAGATCGCCAAATCAACCAGGAGTACCCAACCTTCCCCAGATTCGCTTCAGCCCCCAATTAGCCTCTCAACCGCTGCGTCTCATTACACATGCCAAGGACCCGCCCGTCGCAGATCGGAATCTGCCAGGGATGAGATGAGATGTCGGTTTCCGATTCCAATCTGGGGGCGCAGGTTTCGGGTTGATTACTGTGGGAAGTGGCCTCGGACATGACACATTATATTTCTTTTTTTTCTTTCTTTCTTTTCTTTTCTTTTCTTTTTGTTTGCCCCCTTGATGAAGGGATAGGAGGTATCTAGGAATGAGTTATGGGAGATGTTGGAAAATAAGTGCACTGATTGACACGGGATGAATTAGTATTACCTATTTAGGGAATTGTATTTTGGTAGGTAGTACCAAGGTAAGGTCCATGAATCTGTACTACTCTACGAGAGGTATGGAGCACTAGTAGGTAGTGTGTGGTGTTTTTCGGGATATGTACCGTACTGCCGAATCACAATATACCGGGTTCGATATCAACATGAAACAAGACAAAAAAAAAAAAGCAAAGTAAATGGATATGTATAATTAGACATCATTGTTGCATAGTACTAACCCCATGTCCAATAATGCATGGAGTAATATTCCTCGAACGCACCAATGCACGATCATGGCGCGCGATCAGAGGGCCAAGTGAGGCAGCAGTCGAATCGACGCGCGGCGTGCGTGCTCGGGTTCCCACTCGACGGTCACTACTAGTGATAGTAGGTAGCTAGTTACCAGATCAGGATTACTAATACTATACTATAAAACTGTGCTAATGGATGTATGTCCATACTCATGTGGCCTTACCACTCATGGATGTTTCATATGCAATGCCTACTAGTTGGATATGGCGTCCGGCTGTGATGGAATACTAGTAATAACTTGTCACTGGAAGGTCGCCGGGACGACGTTTTTGTTGAGGTTGCTGGGTGGTGTAGTTAGTGGTCAAGACTTATCTATACAAAGTGTGGTTTACAAAGTGTAGTTGGTCGAATCCTACAGTCAAGCGGCGAGTTTCAAACTTTTTGCATCCCCCGTACTGTGTACATGCACAGTACATAACGTATCCAGTTCTATTTACGCTCTGTACATTCTTATATGCCGTGGAACTGCCAGCCTTACGGGCCAAGGCGCGAGAGAGAAACAAAAGAAGGTGAAAAAAAGAAAGAAAAAAAAATCGAGTCTGTCTGGATATACCTCAGCGCATTATGTACTGTCAGCGACATACTGTGTACATTCTAGAAGGTCACGGAAGGAGATCAAGAGTGATCTTCGTGGTCTCGCTAAAGATTTCCTGTTGCAAATACACTGCCCGATCTAGAGAATTTTAGTGCCCCGATTTAGTGGACAACTGCGTATATGTATGGGGAAATGCGCCGTCTTGTTGGTATCCAAGTGTAGATATGCCTTCTATCGCAACCGGTTGAGATCTAACCGAGAAAGACCAATAATCATAATAAATGAAGAAAGAGGGGGAGAACTAGTTAACTAGTAGAATTATTTTAAGTAATATCTGCGGTAATCCGGCAGCGAACCATGGATGATGAGGCATGGCGCGGCGATGACAAAGAGCGGCCGTGGCAGTGTTTGATGTTCTTTTGTCGCCCCAAGGCTTTGCTCTTCCCTCTCCTGCTGACCGACTGAAAAGAAGCTAACTAACTAATTTCCACCCGATATTCTCTAGGCTATGGGATGTTTCCACTTGGACCCTTCCCTCCTCTTGGAGGTGCTTTTCTTTGCTCGGCGCGGAGAAAAGGGACGTGGTGGCGATAATTGAACCCTCCCAACTTAATCCAATTCCCCCCATTTTTTCCAGGGACTGGCTTTGATCCGTTTCTTTTTGGATCATTCTTACTGGCCAGCGTATATTTTTTTTTGTTTACTTGCCGGAGTATACCGAATCCTCGGCATGAAACTCGACCCCAAATCCCTATCCGCGCTACTAAGTCAGTTTGGGTATTTTGTAGAATCCTGCAGGGCATAATCAAAGGGCAGGGGACGCCTTCTGCGGTGTCAACTGTACTTTTCCCAGTCTGACATGTTTGATCGACCACTGGAAGAGAAGCCCCGAGATGGAGAATCGGCATCTAGGGTGCCTTAGCCTGAGGGCCCCCATCACCAGATCCCGAGGAGAGGGCTGAATCCACTTATGGATCCTGGATGCATGGGGCGGCGCAGAAGTGTTGGTTTGGTTGTGCTGTTCTCTCTGTTGGACGAAGCACGCAAAGGACTCGAAGCTGCATAAAGCACCGCCTCAACGCATTGTCCGACGTTGGACCCAGGTGTGACCATATAAGTTGAATAGGGCAACCTGTCTCGCAGGGGTTTGCTTGATTGAACCTAAATGCTTTCTTGAACATCTTCTGTTGCCAAATACGCATTTTGTGTGTGGCGATCCACTTGGCCCTTCCGTTAATCGTCGTATTCATCGCTTTTTTTGGAATCTTGCCTCCACGACTTCGTACTCGGCCGTGCCACTTGTCCTAGGCAGGGGCCCGGGTATGATCTAGTATAATAATATAGTTACGAAAGCGGCCAGTCCTAACTCCTCGATCTTTTTGTTCCTTTCGCCTGTTACCGTTCCCCAGATCGACAACGGCTTATGCTCACCCTCCCCGTCCAAATGGACCAAATAGACCTGTCGTCCTTGGAAGGCCCGCCTGTCATTCACCGGCCCCATTCCACGAATCCTTACTCGGGCGTACCCAGTATACAGTTAGATTATTCAGCATTCCCACTGGAAGCATTCGATGGCCTGCCAAGCCATCCTCCACGGCCAGCCTCCGCTGAGCCGGTGCCGTCGTCCCGACAGAAGTCGCCTAGTATAGCACCTGGCGTGAACTGGCACCGTCGTGAACGAGGCAATATGCAGCATCCAGCAGACTTAACACCCGGGAATGGCATTCGCCAAGGTGCCTCTGAACGAAGAATCGATTGCTCTGCTGCGCGCCGCCCCATCTCTCATCCGGGCCACTCCTCTCCTCTGGGCCTATTCAACCCGCATCCTAGAGTAGAAAGGCCTATTCGCGTGCAAAGCGCCTCGCCATCCCACCAACTTATCTGGCTCGATGAACAAAATATCTGGGTGCGAGCAGAGATCACCATCTCAACGAATTTCCCTGGCCAAGTGCCCACACTGACTCACTCTCGCTCGATGGACACATACTTGACGAATAATGGCGAGCGGGACGCAGACATCCCCTCCTCTCCGCCACCCCCATATGAACAGCATGTATTCGATCAGCTGATAGCGTCGCGGCGGGTGAGCCGGGGAGAGCCTTCGTCGCGTATGGCCGCGCACGATTCAATGTGGACGGCCGTGGCGGGCCGGAGGGCACATCGGGCCCCTTTTGGCAACTGAGCAGCATTATATACGCTCCAACAGACGTTTCGAACTCTAAGCCACCAGTGTCGGCTCACCGCATTACGGCTTATATCGACGAGCGTCAGTCAGTTTGCAATAATTCCCTGGCCCTGCGAACAAGGGATTTAGCAGCTGGGATGACAGTGATTGCGCTTGTATCAGGGGTACTGACGGCGCATTCCTGCTTGTTAGTGATTTCACCTGGCTTGGCTCACAACGAAGCTTTGCTAGCGACAAATATCTTCGTCACTACCTCTGTCAATCACCTGAAGACAGCTCTTGCCATACTCAAGAGGCAGAGTGAGTCTTATATGCAGACGGCGATCGCCCGACCTTGACTGTGACGAAGAGGGCCCGTTCTGTGCCAAGATAAAGTTTACGGAACGTTGTATATACTACGCTTGTACTATAATCGACCGCACCGCCCCATTCATACTTACACGGGGGTTTTACTTTATTCACTGACCTGGCGAACAAGTGAGTCGACAGTGGACCAGATGGCACGCGACTACCACGTGGCGATCATTGCGTTCCGGCCCGCCAGTTCTCTGTCCAACAGGTTGTAGATTGGGAACCGAAAAGGCGGATCTGCAAGATGACCAAGAGACGAGACAGGAAAAGAGGCGGGCGAGTCGCCTAGAAATTTGCCTGCAACGTCAGAAGGCGTCGGGAGAAGTGGACCTCAGGTTAACGCGAGACGAGTAACAGTCGAGGCCACACTGGAAAACCGAGGGGGTGGGCCGCATTGGCTGGCACGGCTGATCGGGGAAGAAGTCGGTGGTACTTCGTGTGTAAAACAAAAACCGTACTGAGTACGGAGTATAGGGAAGATAGTTTGCTATGGAAACGACCAAGCGTCATGCATAGGATTTGGTGTTATAATTGGTTTCTGGCGTACGGATTGGCGGAGTGGATCTGATCCTAGTTGTTGGCGGCTCGGGGATTATAGTCATTCTTCCCTCTCTGGTCTCGTTTTTGTTGGATTAGGTAGCCAGGAGATGATCCTTTTTCTGTTTTAGTGCCTGCCGGGCAGAAGGTCGTAAAGGATTGACTGGACTGGACTCAAGAGGAGCGACCGTTACTGGCAATGCAGTCGTGAGACGTTTCTTTTCGACAGGCGAACGATCGATGGGATTCGACGACAAGCTGCACGCTAGGCGGAGTTCGTCACCTTCGATCACCAGCCTCCATGATTTTTTTTTTCCCAAGTGGAGGGAGAGGAATCCCCAAATAAATAAGTCTACACTAAGGGAAAAGATATTACTACCTATATAGTTGAAT